AAGTCCATAACTATATTTGGTATGTACTTGACCCGACCCGTCATGGTCCATTTGGGTTGCACTTCACCGACACAGTTTATATGGATAGTCTTTTGAGAATAGTATATTTATGATTTATATTAATATATTATAAGTTGTAATATATTAATATATAATCATATTATTTAATTAGTATTGATCAAGAATTAATTTATAATTAATTAAGTGATCAAAAGGAACTAATTAAATATGGACTCTTAGATATATATATGTGTAGTGGGCCAAGTTCATTTAGGTTGGGTTAAGTCTTCATGGATAGTCCATGGAGCTTTAACCCATGGATCCTAGGAAATGAAAGGTCATGGGTATTAGGGTTTAACCCTAATCCTCCACACTATATAAAGGGTCTTATGGTTCATGAAATTATGCTAGTGACTAGTCTGTGTACACAAAAGGGCAATGCCGATTTCACTAGAGAGAACCAAAGTATCCTTATTCTCAAGGTTATTCCAAGTGTTCATGGTGTTGTGTGAACCCATTTGAGGTGTCACACTTGGGGCACTAGGCACTCAAGCTTTATGAAGACAAGTTACATCAAAAAAAGGTATGTATTCTATCTATTTTATTACCCAAGTATATGATATTTGTATGCTAGTATAGGGTAATATCTTGGAAACTTCATATTTGCATGTATAATAGAGAAAACATAGATCCAAGGTATTTAGGGTTGTATGTGCACCATAGGATGTTGTAGTATACTAAAACCCAACAGTGGTATCAGAGCCATGAGTTGTTTTCTGTTATATTCATGCAAATGTTTGATTTTCAAAGTTGAAAAAAAAAGAAAAAAAACATGAAGTTTGTCAAATTTTAAGATAATTACTTGTTTTGTGAAAAACTAATTATTTGTAAAATTTGAATCATTTTCTATATGAGTTGAATTAGGTCAAATTTAGTAAAAGATAAAATGATATGATTATTTTATTAGTTTTAAAAGTTTGATCTAAATGTTTTAAGGAGTTACAAATTTTGTCATAAAATTTTGAGCTCAAAAAGTTTTTTTAAAGTTGTGATCTTATGTGTTTTGAAACCTCCATAAGTTATGGATATGAATAGGTTTTTTAAAAAAAAAAAGTTTTGTTTTTATGGAGTTACGAAATTTGGTGTTAATGTTTTAAAGAATTCCATAACTTATTCTTAAGTTATGGAACAAGAAAAGTTTCATCATAAAACAAGCATTTAACTCCATAAGTTATGGATTACCAAAAGTTCTATGTTTCCTTGATTTATGAGTTAGTTTAGATTAATGGAAAAAAATTTGTGTTTTAGTTGTTTTCAATCCTAATTAATCTAAAAGTTGTTCATAAAATGTGTTTTTTTGTAACTTGTCCTCAAGTTATATGAAAAGTCACATTTATGAATCTTAAAAAACTCATAAATATGCGTTAGGTTACAAAAACAAATGAAGAGTCTTTTCTTATAAATAGATTTTATGGCTCCATAACTTGTCCTCAAGTTATGGATGTCCAAGAGTCTCTTCATTAAAGTTTTTAAAGCTTTACTTAAAACCCATAAGTTGTGAAAAATCCAAGAGTTTTGAATAGTTTCAAAACTTGCCCTCAAGTTTTGGATTTTTAAAGGTTTTTTCTAATGAATACTTAATTCCAAGTTAAGCCCTTAGAATTTTAAAAGTTAAAATTCAACCCTTATACTTTATAATATTATAAGTTAATAATATATATATGTGTATAAGAGCAAGTCAGTCTTACCATTAGTAGGCCTCATTCACGAAGCCGGTCTATAAGGGGGGTATAAGGTTGTTGCCTATAAAATGGCAGCTTAATGGGTGTCCACTCTCACCCACCGCTTCCTTGACTGGTGGAGGGTCGTTAGCCGAACAGGTAGGACAAGGACTATAATTCTCCGTTCATTAAAAGTATTAATGATAAATACTAAGTAACTAAACCTTTTATTAATTCCCAATCTTAGTTATTTAGGAAAATATGAATTTGGTGCTAATCCATGAAATTACACTTTGCACTTTGTTTAAACCGTTAGTGGAGCGTGTGTGGTTAACCGGCACACTAACCTGGATTTAACAAAGTAGGCAAACGGTAACTTAATATTTATCATAGTATCGGTGGAGCTCGTGTGGTTAACCGGCACATCGATTGAGGGGTAAATATTAAGGGTACCAAGTATATTTGCATGGTTACTTCACACCTTGTTTTGTGATCCTCGGCATCCCAGTCACAAAAACTGAAGGGAACACTCGAGATTGAAACATGCCATTGAAAGTTCAATGAATCTCAAAAGAATCTAGGAGTTTCAAAACCAATTAAAACCTAATACATTTCGTTTATCTTGGTGGAAATTGGTGAATCGTCATTCACCTACCTTCAAATATTTTATAACTTGGATTACGGCATCCCTCTTCCAAGTTATAAAAATAGTTTGTTGGGTCCTAGCCTTAATATATCATATTGGGTGTTATATTAAGGACTTTAGATCAACTATCTTGAATATCTCCCAAAAGATGTCTAGTTCAGACATCTATGATCTTCCCAAATCTCTTGGAACTTTACTTCCTCCACCTCCTCCAATTATTCTCCCTAACCCACAAGTTCAAGGTCACTCAAGCCCTAATGGCAAGCAAGGTCTATGTGTGATCACATTTTAGAGATGAAGTCACATATTGACAAGCCGGGAGAGTTGGGTGTCAAAGTCTTGAGAAAGTTGGATGTTCAATCACTTTCTAAGTCACATAGTGAGTTCCTTTAGGACTACTATGAAACAGACTATGACATGAACCTTAATGATCATATCTATTTGTTTGGTGCTGCTGAATCAGCAATGATTTGGAACGATAGTAAAGAAAATTTGATTAGTAGATCAACTTCCCAAAAACTTTATGGACAGTGACAATGGTGACACTAGAAATCCAGAAAAAAGCATTCTCTTCCCAATGGAAAGGGATTGGCCATAGTCAACCCGGTTGACCAAATGGTAAAGAGAAAGGCTAAGTCTGAGATAGTTCCATTACCAAAGGGTCCATATGTTTATTTTGCCAAAGGAAGGGGCGTTGATTGCAAAGCTGCCAAATGTACCTAAGGATGTTAAAGTCAATAAGTTTGACTCTACATCAGGTAGAGCCCATTATCTAACTCAGTTAAGTTCTATTCTGAGATCCTCATTACATGATGTGATTGGGTCACATTGCTTTAAGAATCGAAGAAAAGTGAAGAAACTTAAAGGAAGTACATGCTGATTCTGATCGCGAAGATGGATTTCGATCGCATGGTTCAGTGATCAAAATTTTGAGTTGTTGCTTAGGAGTTATGATATATTGCTTAGGAATAGATAACAACAAGTTTTTCATATGCTTTTGCACTGTAAGGATAAGTTTTTCCGCAAAGTTTAAAATAAAAGGAAAATTTTTATTTTATTTATTTTAAAATATCCTTACAATGGCATTTGTGGAAAAATTGTTGTTTATATAATTCCATTAATAGCAAGAGTGGAAATATGAATTTGATTCTTTCGTTTGTGGTAGTGTCTAAATTTACCAAATAAGGAAAGATTCTCATCACCCAAGTTTCAGTTGGATAGAAACTTGGAATCATGCAAGTTGTATAGTATGATGAATGAGAACTTTCAACTTTCGAAAATTAAGACTAATTCCTTGTTCACATGTATATGTGAGTCAAGTGAAGGACTAAAGGGATCAAGTACACATTCTTGTGCACTGGTCATGTCCACCACAAAGCTCGTTAAGACTATTTGATTTACTAAAGTTTAGTAAATATGGTTATACTTACAAGTTTAAGTATAATTCTGAAACATTGGAAAAGTCTCAATGTATGGCAGAACGAATGGGAAGAATCAAATTAGGCAGAAAGATAAAAGTTTCTCAAATCTGAAAATATGGGAGAGTACTTTAGTATCATGTTTGTGATCATCTTAATGATTTAGAAATCATATCACAATTAGTCCTCTAAAGGTCATATTAGTGCATTATTATGACTAAGAAGAGGAGTCATGAATTGTTAAAATGGTTAGATCAGGAAGATGAGTCATACTTCGTTCCAAAACAATTCTTAGTCATACTCCAAGATTGTAACTTGAGTGACATATCTTAAAGAAAGGTTTAAAACACTTGTCAAATGTAAGAGTAAAAGTGTCATACTCTTGTACATTTGAAATTGGTAAGTTATGATGTTTTGGATAAAACAAAGACCACCTAAGGCTAATTGTGTGAAGTGTTTGTCTTGATAAAGAATCCGCACTATCTCTTGAATATTTGGCAAGATAGTCTTATATGTCAAAAGGATAGTGGGAGTCTTAAAGATCCTAAAAAGAATTTCAAGAACTAATCAAGAATAAAACCTGAGGTTCTTCACTAGCACACGACTTGAGGTTTATAACCTATCGTGTTGACATATTTAGTGCCCATTCCAATTAAAGTTGGCTTTGCATAGGAGTTATGAAAGTTCTCAATTGGTTGCATAACAACTTGGAAGCAATGGCAGGCCCTGTACTGCCAGGTGGCAAGAAGTTAAGATTGCATAAGTTCAGTCCATATGAGTTTGGATTTGTCATTATCCTTGTCTTGTGACTATGGTTTTGACGATTCACATGGATAAGAACACATACACCATAAAATCTAAGGGTCATAAGGTTTCTCTCTGATTCATGAAAATGATGGTGAGGAAACACTTCCACCAAGTAGATTTGAAGCAGATGGCAAAAGGTCTAAACAATTGAGACTATGATTACGACATCCCTTTTTCATAGTTCTGAAATTGTTTAGACACACATGCATGCTATCTAAGGAAAGGTGTATGATTTTGATAAAGTTTTATCAAAGCATCTCGTATCAGAAATCTGAACTTTGGTAAGAAAGTCAATAAATTATTGATTTCTAAGTACATGTCAAAGCTGTCAAAATCTGAACATTGCTGTTGTAACGTACCTGCATTCGTCGGTCGGAATTGCCTCAAGAGCAGCGATTTCATCTCCTTTCATCGCGTTATTGGTCGACGGTTGTGCTCCCACTGAAACCACAGGAGGGCGTCACCTTCGAGCGCTACTACCGCCGCCTCCAGCTTATCAGCCTCTGATAGTTTGTAAAAGTTGAAGTATCGTTCAGCCCTCAAGATCCAGCCATCAGGATTTTCACCGTCGAACAAGGGCATATCCAGTTTTCTGAACCTCCAATTGGTTCCACCGCCATAATCGCCTCCCTGTTGCCGGCCCCCGCCGTCGTTGCTTCCGCCTGTTCCAAAACCCCCGCTCCCGGCCGGTTTTGATCCTCCACTGTTATCCTTCGGGGTTTCCATCGTGGAAATCACAGGTTCGTCTAAGAATTCTCCTTCTGTTGACTTCTTCCCTTTACCGAGGGCCCTTAACACCTCTTCAAACTTCTGGTCCATCTTCGTCTGTATTGAAGCGATAGAATCAGCTTGTTGTTGGATCTGGTGTCCTTGATTCTCTATTCTGTCGTTCAAATGGCCTAACTCTGCCTCCAAGGATTCCACCCTCTTGAGTTGGGTTCCTCCCACTTCTTTTCCTCCAGCCATGCTCCCAGATGATTGCTCTGATACCAATTGATACGGACCCATCCCATACTAGGCCCGCATCACGCCATAAGCCCAAGTGTAGAACTCACTCCCAAAAGCCAGCTTGGAGGAGGAGGGGACACCGAGACTTATAAGGCGGTTTTTTTGATTTTTTGGATTTTGAATGTACATGAGAACAAGGCGGGTTATTTGATTTTTTGGATTTCGTTTTTCAGCTAGCTACTAAGGAGAACGTGTGTTCCATAAAAAAAATATAAAGTAACGCCTCTACACGACACACATATTTGTTAGGCTCCTCCGTGATTTTTTCCTTTTGTTGGGACACTAATCTTAGGGCACGCAAAAATACGTGTCCTAAGTCTTTCAAATTTTGGGAGAGATGACATTATTTTTAGGGCACACACTTTTATGTATCATAAACCTGTGCATGTCATGGTCTGTGTGTCATTAAAGGGCTATTTTCTAGTAGTGGGTGTACCGAAGTGGTACTCAAGATTACCGAGTCGATTCAACAAGTACAAAGTAGACTTCAAACAGCTTAGAGTCGGTAAAAGAATTATGCCGAGAAGAGGCGATTAGACCTAGATTTCCACATTAGGGCTATGGTTCTCTTGAAGGTGTCACCTTGGAAAGGTGTCATCCGATTCAAAAATAAGGGTAAGTTGTGCCGGGTTGCTTATCGCTTGGATCTTCGCGAGGAGCTTACTCAGATCTATAGCATGTTTCACATCTCTCGGCTTTGGAAGTGTTTGGTGGATGATTTCATGATGGTTCCATTGGACGATATTTAGGTGGATAATCGTCTAAACTATATAGAGATACCGGTGGCGATTCTTGATAGAAAGATGAAAACCTTGAGGAACAAGGTTGTTGAGTTGGTGAAAGTTCAGTGGCAGCACCACAAGGGATCAGAATGGACATGGAAATCGGAGGATGAGATGAGGGAGCACTACCCAGAATTATTTGTGGCAACAGACTTCAAGGATGAAGTGTGATTCAAGTGGGGGAGAATTGTAAACATTCGATATTGAGTGGTATGTTCCTATTTAATCCTTATTGTAAATTCTTTTCATTTTAGTCCATAGCCGAGTACGCTGGGCGTACTCTATGAGTACTGAAACATCCCAAAAATACAGTGCAAAAATTTCGTTTTGAAAATTATTATAAAACCATAAACCATCCATAATCATAAAGAAAACCATGTATCATGTATCTCAAAACATCATAGCAAATACTGTGACAAAACATGTGATAAAAATATCAGAGTAATCTCCCAGGCCAGAAAGACAGTGGTGTGTGTCTGTTGGGTTTTAGTATACTACAACATCCTATGGTGCACATACAACCCTAGAAGCTTTGGATCTATGTTTTCACTAATTATACATGCAAAAGGTTTCCAAAGCTTTAAGCCTATTACTAGCATGAAATTGACATAAACAATATGTAATATTAGTTAGGGTGACATACCTTTTATGTAGCTTGAAACCTTGATGATTTTTTCCTTAAAGAGCTTAGCCCTAATAGTGTGGAAGCCTCAAATGGAATCACAACACATTATGGACAAAAGTAGAACTTGAGAGAGAATTCCATGCACCCAAAAACTCCCATGAACTCCAAGAACAAGCACGTAGGCGTTTTTTAGGTTAAGAACATGTATTTATATGTTGGATTTCAAAGGTCATGGGTATAACCCAAATCCATACCCATGGGTTTAAGATCCATGGTTCATGTGGCCCAACTCTTTATGTATCCATACATAAACTTGGTCCAACATGGATCATAAGCCCAACATATATAAATATAACTAATTACCATAATTAGTCCCCATAGATTTAATTAGTCTCTTTTGATCACTAAATTAATTCTAAATTAATTCTTGATCAATACTAATTAAAATATATGATTTCATATTAATATATTATAACTTATAATATATTAACAAAATCATATATAACCTTCTCTCAAAAGTCCATCCTAACAAATTGTCCTGATGATATGCAACCCAAATGGACCATGCTACTCTCGGGTCAAGTACATACCAGTAATAGTTATGGGCTTAGACATCTAATCCAACAGTCTCCCACTTGGATAAGTCTAAAACTATTATTGCAAGTACGACTCCAAAACCCGACTAGCAATTGTAGCTCTTAAAGGCCGCTGTCGAACTCTGACCTAGTCAATGACGTGTCCATTAGATAAGGGATCATATATTCCTCCATTCTAGATACCATATGGACTGAGACATGGATTATAATCATACTCTTTGTCCATCTGTTGTTTCCCGATTTCTGATTTATGACGACCGACTAATTGAACAAATCAAATCAGTCCAGGCGCGGCCAAGCACTTACGTTTGTCATCACTAAATCATCGAGGGGCCCACATATATCGCTTTTATCCCTGCAAGGGTAAAAGGAATGGATAAACTTCGACTAATATGCTTGTACTAACTACTTGTTGAATCATACACAAAGCCACGTTTTATAACATCAAGTTACTGATGCATTTTCATACAATAAATGTACAACCAACTCATAGTCAATAACTCATATCTCTAGGTTTGAAGAATATAAGATATTATCGTCTCATGATCAATCGTGATAAAATCCATGAAGTGATTAAAATGAGTGTGGGTTTAATCTAATACTCGAATCTCATTCCAGGAGCACTCATGAATGTTGCAACAACTTTTGCTATGTCTAAACGCCTTAGACATCTACAAGCCCAATTCATGACAGTCTTGATTCATACCTACTTCCAAAGTATGATTGACTGTGGAGAGTTTGAATAACCTTAGATATTTAGAAATTCAAAACATGCAAAGTGAAACATAAGAATAATATTAATCCTATATGGCCCCAATACTTGTGAGAGTAAATAAAACACCTTTTATTTAATCACCATATTGATTACTCATTATTTATTGTATAATGTTTCGGATAATCAACTTAATACTTGAATTAAAACAATAGTTATGACATGCTCCAAGCATGCACACTATGTTTACCTATGGTCCTTTCTTTGTGGAATAGATCAATTGACAACATTTCAATGATGCTCATTTCACAATTCCAAATCCTTGTCGTAAATGTAAGAATCCAAGATTCTTTGCCATTTACTGAAATCTGTTAGATTCTAAAGTTATATGCATTGATCCTTTTGTAATGACTATTCACAAAAGTCACAAAGACTTGTAAACAGACTTTACAAAGTATTCCAATGGAGAGCAATTCCATGGAAACGAAGTCTCACATTCAAAGTACTTTCCTTTGAACATCCTTCTTGCATTAAGTTTTCTAATCTTACACAGATTTAATGAATAACTTCCACCTATGGAAACATTTCCATATTATATTTTGACCATCACTTCTGAACAAGAGTTGCCTCTTTTCAGAATATGTCAATATGGTCCTTCCAAAATTTAACACTATACTTCCAACTGTCCATGAGTAACCAATCTTTGGTAAGCCTCAAATTGTCCTTGACAATTGCTTAATCATTTTAGTCATATCCAGTTCTATTCCTTTTTCCCTCTTAATGCCCTAGGCATTTGGAAAAATTAGAACAGATGAATATTGCAGCACATGTAATCGATCCTATATCCGAAGCATATGTGCACGATCCATGATGTCTCACATAAAGACATGATACTAGACCAGTCTTTTGCTAATAATATTTCTATTTCTATTTGCCATGTTCTCATAATTCAAATTATGAAAAGGGATGCCGTAATCATAATCGAATTTTAGAACGCAAACACGATTCATGATGTCTCACAGAAAGACATGATACTAGACCAGTCTTTTGCTATAATATTTCTATTTCTATTTGCCATGTTCTCATAATTCAAATTATGAAAACGCATGCCGTAATCATAATCGAATTTTAGAACGCAAACACGATTCACGATGTCTCACATAAAGACATGATACTAGACCAGTCTTTTGCTATAATATTTCTATTTCTATTTGCCATGTTCTCATAATTCAAATTATGAAAAGGGATGCCGTAATCATAATCGAATTTTAGAACGCAAATAATGTAATCATGTCTAATTTTGATTAAAATCTCAATCTAAGCTTTTAGAATTGGGATGAAGTATAATTTCCTCTCCCTTAATTATAGGAAAACAACTTTTCAAACCCTGCAACTTTGCAAATTGAAACTTTTGTTTTCTATAATTAACATTACTAACTTGCAACATTCACCATAATTGATTATGCTCCCACTATCATAATAATTACATCCTTATTAGCATAACACTTATGCTCCCACTAGCTTTGACATGTACTCAGAAATCAGCTGGACTTCTAGAAACCAACACTTTGTTGACTTTCTTACCAAAGTTCAGATTTCTGATACGAGATGCTTCGATAAGACTTTATCAAAATCATACACATTTCCTTAGATAGCTCACATGTGTGTCTAAACACTTACGAAGAGGGATGTCGTAATCATAATGTTTAGACCTTTTTCCATTCTCACTAGTCCATGTTAGTGTGCCGGTTAACCACACACGCTACACTAACGACTTTGAGAATGCAAATATCATAATTGGTATCTACTTAAAATCTACTTAGTGAAAGCGTTTCCTCACCATCATTTTCATGAATCAGAGAGAAACCTTATGACACTTAGTTTCTTATGGTGTATGTGTTGCTATCCATGTAAATTCGTCATAACCATAATCACAAGACAACGTTAGTGACAAATCCAAACTCATATGGACTGAACTTGTTCAATTTTAACTACTTGCCACCTGGAAGCACAAGGGCCTACCATTGCTTCCAAGTAGTTATGCAAACAACTGAGAACTCATATAACTCGCATACATAGACAACTTTAACTGGAATGGGCACAGAAACAAGAATATGTCAACACGATAGGCTATAAACCTCAAGTCGTGTGCTAGTGATAAACAATACCCTCGATTAGTTCTTGAAAGTTTTCAAGATCTTTAAGACTCCCACTGACCTCTTGACATATAAGATTCTCTTGTCAAGAACCATTCCTTGACAAAGCAAATATTCAAGAGTTAGTGT